TTTGCTCGCTGCGTGACAGAACCGTAACAAAGGCAGCTTGGAAAACTAACTTAACCATCCACGTCAACGGAAACTGAAAAGACAACGCGAAGACGAGAATGAATCATTGAACATCATCTTCATATCATGCTGACTGACATATGGAAGAATTCCCCAAGAACGTACGGTAACCCGAAAAACTCGGCAGAACCTCACCCTTCCTGTTGAAAAAGAATGACGTACCTTACAAGTCATCAGTGACCCAACTGCCGGTTTTTGGTTATCCGAGACTGGATGGGGTGAAGGAAAGATTTTTGCGGCTAAAACGGTACCAAGAAAAGCCTCAATATTGTCCCTTGTCTTGTGAATTGCACTTAAAGTGGCTGAAAACTTTTGCAAACTTTCGCTGGCTTCCTGAATATAATCTTGGATGTGCAAGCTTTTCCAGTTCAGGATCTCCCATCCTGGCTTCAGAACTTTACGCAGCTGAGCTAGATGGGCTTCCAAAATCTTGATTTCAACAGGACTCAGGTTGGAAACGAGTTTGAAGTACGTTCTCGCTATTGCCTCAAGTTGTTCTTTCTGTTTGGCATAAGTATCAATCTGTTTGGATAAAGAGGAGACCGAGTTATGGAGATAAATAAAAAAGAACTTTTTGACTGATATTTCACAGTCAATTTTACAGACGTTGTGGAAATTCATAAAGATGAACAGCGACGTGTCTACAGTCAAAGTATCAGTCAGAAATATCTAAGGTTACAACCTAGGTATTCCCAGTAGCAGTTATAAATCCGCCTAAACGCGAAACGTATCACAGTTCAATTCTTCTTTAGGATCTAACTTTGCTGAAATACTAGACTTGGAAAAGCTTTGTTTGGCGTGAATCCGGAGACTTTCCCATGGGCGTGAATGATATGTACCCCGAAATATCTTGGGGAATTAACTGGCACCCTGTGTCCGAGAAACGCACCAAGTGGATGAGTTTCAGAGTCTTCCTGCGCTGTTAGACAGGATCTTAGCAGCGCATACCTTTGATCGTTCTCGGATTTAAACTTTAGAAAACTGATGTGCGAGACGAGCTTGGTGCCACTACTCCAGCAATGCACGCTGAGGGCATCTCATTAATTACTCCGGAAAAGGCAATGCGGATGATCTTCGAATGATTTTCATCGTCCGTCCATCCCAGTTCCGGCCGTTGGCTGACTTGCCTGTCAATACTTTCTGCCATATAGAGCCATAGGACTTCAAACCTACTGGACACTTGTTTATTTGTAGCTAGTTAGTAAATTTGTCGAATTTGAGCTCACATCACACTACGTTAAACAATTCAGCTACTGTGGCATAATTACTCAAGTTGATTTGCCTCGGAAAGAGGAAGCGTAAAACCTGGGTTTCGCTCTTATTAGAGTTCAGTGCTTCCACCCCTTGGTGCGAACTAGTTACACCATGATAAGATGAGGACTGTTCCAAGCAGTTTTGACATGACCGCAAATTTTACGGGTCTGGTAACCATTACAGCCTTTCCCCGGAGAAGCGATGGCGCTCAATCGTCATGAAACTGACGGTGGTCGGGGGACACTAAAGAACACTAGTAAATGATGATGGATTGCCGCTTCGTCTGCATATCTACAGTATGGTCTTGTGAAGATGGACGGGTGAGTTTTAAGTTTTGTGGTAAGGCTGTGGGCCATTGGTTCACTCACCTAAGATATTCGGGGTTAATCTTTATCCGTTTATCAGCATCAGCATCCCGGGCCGGCTGCGGTTTGCAGTACATAGTCTTACGGATGATTGCGCAGTATCAGCGAGCATTGTGTTCGGGGCTAAGCTAACCGTAAAAGACGTGATTCTTATACAAAGACTGGATTCGCCTAGCAAAATGGATGTCAAGTTGATTGGTACGGTCAACTCCACTGAAACGAGGGACAGAGAGATCTCTTCCGAGAGTACTGAGAAGTATAGTAAGATTACTTCAAAAGGACTGTACAAATAAAGGCGCAACTAGTAGGAGAGGACTGTTGCCGAGTGCAGCATTGCCACAGTTCATTTGTTGATGCATCAATATTTGTTCTGTCTGTCAAGAAGAACGTGGACACGACACTGCCCAAGCAGCATATTTTACAGTTTCTGTGTTTACATCATTCTCAGTTTAATTCAGGCTGATACGATATCCACATGCCCGACTGGAGAGCTGTTCCCTTCCTCAGCATTTTACGACCAACAATTTAAGTCCCTGATCTTGCCCCAGGGAGAGTTCCATGGTGTCTCCCACAGAGCATGTTATCAGCTCAATTTTATCGAATTTATCTTATCATCCAGAATAAGGAAGCATTTCTCGCAGAATCACTTTTGCTCATCAGTCACGTTTCCCTATGGACGGATCTCACGACAGCTTCACAACATATTCGACATATTTCCTCCATTACTTCATTGTTCTTGCAAATCGTCATGGCATTATTTGTGAACAGGCGTCCTGTACCTCCGTCACATTTTATGCTTGCAGAGTTGAAACCGAAATATATCGCTTACCCAAGGATCTCAGTGATATGTTTTAACGGAGATATGTTTATAGCGTGAAGGATTCATTCTTTACAATGTAGTGGAAAAAATGGGCCTGTTATGCCAGGAACCTATCTCTACACTCTACAATCCTGCGTTGAAGTGTAAGGCTGGAAAAGTACTTTCTCAACTCCTTTCGTAGACCAGTTGGTAGTGCGATGGTACATTTGTGAGGGTTAAAAATCTACCAGCTCATCATCAAGCACAGTGAAGCGACATCTGTACAATATGGCCCATCAACACTGAGGAATAATCGTGGCACTACCGCACATAATGCGGCTGTTCCAAAAGGAGGATTTCCTGAGTGAAACAAACATTGTTGTTTGCCACTAATTTTAAGGGTACTGCACTTTGCAAACTGCATTCCTTCGTCATAAGTTATCTATACACTGTTGGTGGTGCGACTGTGAATACTAGCATTCGGTCAGCCGAACATATCTTCCCGGAATTAATTATTCATCAGCCAGGCTCAGGGATTTCGCATTTGCTCATGCCAGTTGGGAAGCCATTATGAACTCTATGAGGTTAACAAAATAACGCCGAAATACGTAGGAATGTTTCGTATTATCGGCCGAACTCCGTACACAAACTAATGACATAACCAGAGGTATGATATTCACTCTCGCTTCAGTAAATGTGGGTCTGTTTGACTCCCCGGCTGAGGTAGTGATAGTGCAATCTGAAGCAGTCTGTATTTCTTTTTGGTTGCTTGACAACGTGTGGTGCACGAAGAGTATCATTTGCACCATACCAACTCCTTTATTCTGACACTTATTTGTTTACCTGGACGCCACAGTGTTCCAAACGAAAGGTTCACTGACAATGGAACTAATTTTACTGGCGTTAGGTCCACATTAACACCGACTGAACGAGCCCCATATTTGGATTTGATAGCCAGATATATGATGGAACACCTGGCATTTCAGTCCTTGCAGCGCTCACTCTTATTAAACTGATACTACTTCGCGAAAACCTTTGGATTAATGTTGGAGCAGTTAGCTTACACCAGCACTAAATATGTATCCGCAAGCAACCAGAGTATCTGATGAATGCTTTCTGGAAGTGTGGTGCCAAAAGCCAAGCAAAACTTTTTGGCACAGAGACGCAATTCAGAGGCTATTTATCTAGTTCTGGTGGTAGATGCCCCATCCTCAGGAGTGTATAAATTGAAAGAGTCGTATCAGGATCCACCTCAAGTAAGAAAGTTTAAAAGGACAATATTATGGTGATGATGATGAGCACCCACCGTCACTTGATCCAACAGGAGAACAATTCTTCCTAGATGGTATTGCTAGAACAAAAGCAAGGGCCTACATGAGACATGTTTGTCCGAAATAAGAGTCCCTGACGTACACAGTTGTCATTACCATTACCAAATTGTCTTTTTTCCAACTCCCTGCCATTGTTAAGTATCTCCTAAGGCCTACGCATTGGCCCCATTTAAACACACTAATTTTCAATTTCATCATCCGACTGCGTTGTTGCGTTAAACTTTAATAAGACTGCGTGTTTCCATATTCCCATCTAGCCACAGGCAAAGTCCCTTTTGGGGTTTTTTCTTCGTCTAGTCTCTATCTCTTTGTCCTTTCACTATTTTGAATACGGTAAAAAGCCTGCTCAGTCAGTTTTCCCCTAGAGTTCATGCCATGTGAACTCCAAAACCGTTTAGAGTGCTTGTGGAATCGATACTTACCATCTACGCAGAGTCTAGTCTTTTACAGGCGCCACGCAAAGAAAAGAAACATGTCCCCTGGATAAAACTGCTGTGAAATAAACTTATTTTGTCAATCACTACAAACAGACACAACCTGATTTCCTCGCTTTTTATCCCACCACATTGCCAGTATGCAAGTGAAAGTACGTACGCACCAGCACCTCCCACTTTGAACCACCCATTCGCCAAAACAGCCATTTGTTTTTGCAGCTAAGTGTACAAGCAAGCTGCATCCCTGATGTGCATTTTGGCCCCTCTTTCAATTTCCTACATGCTCTGCACTAACCAAGTCTGTGCTTTGTTTATACGAGTGTATCCAGTTTTAGAGTTGCTAAACATTTTTCAACTGCTGAATTTTGTTGTGAAATACACGGGTGGAGGAAACTATTGAGAACTACTGGGTAACTATTGATCCGTTGACAATATACCAAAAGCGAGATGTGTGACTCCAGTCAAGTTACACAATGAATGGTTACACTTTGTAAGATTGACATATGCACAAAAACAGTAAAACTCTAATCAATGGTAGAAAAACAGATTTCTGGGCGAATCTCACTGAGTTTCCTGTGGATGTTTGGATCGACTCCCCTCTCTTAGCATTCATCATTATCAGCATTACACAATCAATCGGGGTTAATCGTGTCATTAATATAGTTGGCAAAGTGAAACGAATGAGGTATCAGATGAAGCAAATTCACCTTGATGGATACGGCTGCGACTACTGCGGGCAGTTTGAATCCAAGGACCTCCAGCTGCTTAGCTTCGGCTGCGTTCAGAGTTAAAACTTCGTCGAAATTGACAACAAAATCACACTCAACTGTAAAAAAAGAATAAGAAGTGACCGAATAAAAATGGCCTAGCGGTGAGTAGAAAATTACATCCGTACTTGTCCAGTGTCAGTTGGACTTATTGTAAATCTAACTGAAGTTATCGCAAAGTCAAAAACTTACCGAGTTCGGAATTCGTAATTCTATATGCGGAGGTGAATTGCTCATTTTTCATCTCATCTATAGATTCCTTTGCAAGTTCGGCGATTTCATCCGGGTGTTCTAGCTGTGTCCTACGCGAACAGAGAATAGTTTGTTCCAGATATTGATTGAACGTTGAAGCCGATCGATTGGCCCAGTCCAGATACAGCTGGTCTTCATAAGCTTTCATTTTTCGACCGACTTCAAAGTAAAGATTTCTAACTTGCTTGCCTTTCTCAGATTGCAACATTTCTTTGAGTCTCAAAAGGCGGAGAATGGGTCTTTTGATGCATGATAGCAAGTGCCGCTCCCATCTGATCGCCCCAGCTATTGGGGTCGAACAGCGATAACGTGGAGGGAGTTCATCGACAGGTGGTCTTCTGGCACCATTGGCAAAAGCTTTGTGAATGACTAGGACCTCTTTTTCATATTGTTCCAAAATATTCACAAACTTTTCACGAAGCAGATTGCCTATGGACTCTCGTGTGTTGATGCTTTGAAATTTTAACCAAACTTCCATAGCAGCTTCTGCAGAACGAAGAGATTGAAATGCCTCATTGATAAGTTCCTTCACCTCGCTCTCAATATTTCTAGCCTGCTCACGGAAATTCTTTATTGATTTTGTCCATTCCTGCCAGTTTTCAAGTTGCATTGGATCGTAATTTAACTAATGAAACAAGACTGAGGCTTCCGGGACAATATTCTTACCTCTTTGAATGGAACGATCAGTTCTCTTACACAATGTGCAACTTCATCGATTCGCTTTGTTTCTCGAGTGACAGACTTTAGTTGGCTTCCCAAGACGTTGCAGAATTCCTGCAACACGGTGACAACTTCTAGCATGTGGCAGCAAATTTCACGAATATGATCAGTTTTGGAGAATAGTTGCTTTTTATCAAATTCCCACCGGGCATCTCTACCTTTGGCCTCAATGTCAGCACGCTTTTCATAGTACACCGCCTTCCATCGATCACATAATTCTATTGCTCCGTTCAACTGTTCAACGGCATTTGACAGATCATTTCTACGAAGCATATTAAAATAACCATCACAATAAAATCTGTCATACCGAAACAGATTGGGAACATCCAATCCGGCAATGATACGTTCCGAAATCACTGCGGCGATCCGCTCCATTAGAGATCCCATGTTCTCATCATTATTATAGTATCGAGAAAGAACCCAAATCATATGCAAAGCTTGCATTAAAGGTTCCAAGGTATCTGCGATGACAGTGAAACTGGTTCCGAAAGTAAGTGTCTTAAAGTACCGCTCCAGCAGGGATAGCAATCTAGGATACAAGAAATAGTTCTTCTGGAACCTACTTGACATTATCCTTTGATTCTGAATACAACTTTTGAATGGCTTCTAGTTCTGGGATTGTTTGAATCTCTTCACCAAGGAAATAAAGTTTAAAAATCCGCTTCACGAGTGGCCTTTTTAATTGCTCAGCCAGTGCGCCAAGGATAAGATTACGATCTTTCCAATAGTCGATCAGACCGAGTGGGCCACTTCCGCTTGGCACTTTGGCCAACAGACCACGGATGATTTGTTGAATCTGTTATTAACATTCAAGGTTATCACAACACACTGAACGGGTAACCAACCTGATCGCACCAGTCTATCACCATAGAGACAATTTTCGAAAACATATTGCTGTGAATAATTTCTGAATCGGTGCCTATCAGCTCCAGGTCGGATACGTTCAGAGTGACATCACTCTGAAGTTGGCTTAGGGTTACTTCTATGGACTGGATGAACTTCCGCATCCCCAGGAGGAATTCATCTCTGTCTGGAAGCCACTCCTCCTGCGGAGTTTTGTTTAGCTCTTTTTCCGAGACTCGGGATGTTTCCTGATCTGATTCTTTACTAGTTTCCAAATAAGTATGCTTCAGTTGCTGCTGTTGCTGCTCCTGACGCTTCGCACCTAGTCTTCTTTGAGAAAGGAGAACTGGCTCAAAAACGGTACGCATTAGATGCGAAAGAAGCTGTAATAGATTTCCCCGAAGGTAGCCAAGCTCAAAATGCAACAGCATCTCGGATGTTGCCTGGCTTAGACTGGGTGGGTGTGGCAAGTAACCCTTGGACGTCCGGATGAAATAAAAGTACTGCTCCGTAAGTGATTCATCAAGTGCACAGGCTGTTGTCATATTTAAGCGGGTTCTCCAAACTCTGCGCAATTTAATCTGCTTTGACATAGACATTGGTAATAAGTAAGTGTTATACTTTTGAAGTATGGGCTGGCTCTTCCTCCTCTGACTCTGAGCACCCATTTTCTCGCGGCTCTGAAGATTTATTTTCACTACCATTCTGTTGAAGAGAGTTCACGTCCATTTCAGCCAAAAGGTCCGCACTCGACTCTACATTGTATCGAACGCACAAATGCCAAATACATAAGAAGACTATGCTTACCTTCATTTTTGTGTACCACCTGAATCACCTCTTCCACCAGCTCCTCGTAGTAAGTTGTGTAAAATATCAAGGCCTGAAACCTATCTTCTGGTGTGTCATTTAGAAACTTAATCAGAGCAAGTTCATTCGCGTTGTCATCGCGTTCGAGGAAATCAATGAAGACTTCATCCTGTGTAATTTGCAGTGCGTTGTACAGCACGTGCTTCATCCATTCTATCCTTACGTCGTCCATTAGTCCAGACGTCTCACAAATTTCGTCCTTGTGTTAAGAGCCAACTGGTCCCAGCTTTATCAATATCCTGTAAATAGGAAAAGTTGATTCAGTCGCAAACAGTCTACCTTCGTGATGTTTACAGTTTACAGTCTTACCAGTACCGTCTGAGAGGTCCAACAGTCTTTGACTGCTTCTTTGCTTGCTTTACCAATTACAGTGTTTTCAGTCCAAACGAAATCAGTTAGACAGGCTCAGAAATGTGTTGGTAATTGTTCTCCGCACTGTCGCAGGCAAAGATCCGGCCTTCCAGTAAGGACCTTAAGCTTATATTTCTAGTCAGTCAATAAGCCTATAAGTTTCAGTCACCGTCAGTGGGAAGAAACAAGAAGACCAGAATCGACTGAAAAACACCCATAAGCTGCGAGAAAGCTGGCCGCAAAAGGTGCCCTACGAAGAGGGCATGAGAGCATTTCAATAAATCTATTCATGCCTTTCTAAAAGTGGGAGATCCAGTTGCACTAGTGATTAGTACGCATTGTTATGATCTTTACCATGACCATTATGGTGTTGAACGGACTCCCGATGAATTAGGAGTAGTCCAAATAGTCTGATTACCAGGTAGATAACACTTGAAACAAAGAAAATCTCCGATACTGTCTGGAAAAATATTAATTCTATTGTTCCTATACTATAACCGATGACGCACAAAATACAAGGAATGTACAGCAGCGGCATAATGCCGGTCCGTGCTTTATACAGAACAATAGACTGGATGATCGAGCGCCACCTCAAAAATCTCTATTTGAAAATAATGGTTACCAAACTGCTATACAACTCAATAATGCCCAAAGCAGATGACACATGTGAGAACTGTCTGTTATTAGGAAACATTAAACCTCCATAGACGAGGAGATGCCAAGTTGAATTATGTTAATATTATTAGTGCGTAAATTTATTGTTTAAGAATTTCATAACAGTTGACCCTACACACCGCATTCATCATTTTATTCCTCACATCGTAAGGCTTCTTGCCCACCTACTCATTCATTTACTCACTCACTCACTCACTCACTCACTCACTCACATTCATTCATTCATTCATTCATTCATTCATTCATTCATTCATTCATTCATTCATTCATTCATTCATTCATTCATTCATTCATTCATTCATTCATTCATTCATTCATTCATTCATTCATTCATTCATTCATTCATTCATTCATTCATTCATTCATTCATTCATTCATTCATTCATTCATTCATTCATTCATTCATTCATTCATTCATTCATTCATTCATTCATTCATTCATTCATTCATTCATTCATTCATTCATTCATTCATTCATTCATTCATTCATTCATTCATTCATTCATTCATTCATTCATTCATTCATTCATTCATTCATTCATTCATTCATTCATTCATTCATTCATTCATTCATTCATTCATTCATTCATTCATTCATTCATTCATTCATTCATTCATTCATTCATTGACTCACTCATACCCATTTGCCTACTTTCCCAATTTTCTATATACCTGGACCCTGTCTTCTTACGCATTACATTTACACTTACTTAGTTGCCCATCTATTTACTTACTTGCAATCTACCTAAATGACCTGTTTACTTACCTACTTACTGAACTACCGGATTATTTATTCATTTACTCGTGCAAGAAGTACAAATATACAGATGACTTGGAACATTATATGTTATGTTGCGATTCAATGCAAGCTGCAAACGGAACTTCCCAAGCGTGTGATGATAGCAGAGTGCACGTACAGTTCCTCTGACGAACATCACACGATCGTTGGTGATCCTGTTTAAAGTTACGCTTGTTTTCCAGCTTTAGTAATCGAAATACCGGTCAAAATACTTTGCCATTATTGAGGAGGGACCACTGATTGCAGTCCATCTTATCATACAGGTTCAACACCAAAAATATGTTCATTACTTTGGGAAACAAACTAATAATTAATCACTCACGAATAAACGAAGAGCAGATTGATTGAAAATTGACTGTCATGCATTCCTTTAAAGACTGAATATACCGCTTTCAAGCTCAGTCAACAACACCATACTGAAAATGAGGACCGCAGGGTTCATCCCATGGTGACTACCAGACAACACTTTTCACTCACCTTGCTTAACTTTAAGCATCCAGTTGGTTTTTTACACAGGACCAAATAGGTTTTTTGTGTCCAATAGTCCTTTGCTTTATCATTTAACAGGAAAGTGGAAGTGAAGCAATGTTTACACACGAGTCTACCTTATAAGGAAATTTTGATCGGGCAAGAACTCACCTCAATGGAATTTCTACTTGCGAAATCACCACGCAGTAGTAGAACTCGCAAACAAACAACCCACTTTGACTGCCACAAAAAACCTAAGAGCTAGGGTCTCTCGGAGCCACACGAAATTACGAGACATGATCACCAGAGTCTCGGTTTGTCTGGTGAGAAAATTCCACCTGGATGACGACAGCTTGCCCAGTAGTGAGAGTTTTGCCAAGCCGCTCCTCACAGTAAAACTTCTCTTATTGTCAACCCTGTGCCAATTATCACCTTTTTTCTTTAAATTTACGCCCATTTTATGATAATCAACGCAGATCGCTGCTAACATCTGGTTCCATGGTTGCAAATCCAAGCACTGGATATCAAACCGAACAATGGCACTGCTCAAATCTCGGAGAGATCTCCCTGCCGGTCATGAACATAACTTGCAATTTTATCTAGAGACGTGCAGGCGCAGGATTATGATGTAAAAATGCATGCAATTCTTTAAAGTTGCGGTTTAGAATCGGTTTCGTTCACACCTTGATCTCTGAAGTGATTAGCTGGAAGCGCCCATAATGGATTCGAAAGTAGATTTTCGAAAAGATATTGGGCAACACTATCCACTCTTATCGATTTGTCTGAGAAGCTAGTCATCACACTGAAGCATACGGCCAAGATAGTATTCATCGTAGCAGCAGTGTCCTTACAAACAATATACTGAGTCCGCTGTTGGACTGAGGCTTGATGTCATATGGACTTCTAAATCTGGCGATCATAGGAAGAATTTAACATAATGACCTACTGGTAATAAAAGCTCTTAAGGAAACGAAGGAAAAATCAATCCCAGTGATCCCAGAGGTGCCATTGAACTGCTCAACACAGGTCAGGCAGTCCGACCGGGCTCGATCACTAATACCGGACACTGAGCGTTGATTAAATGTTCAATGAATGACAACGCTTCGTTAATTTCAAGCACCTTGTTGAGAAAATAAAAACAAATATCTATTTCCCGATTGATTATATTGATAGGGCTTTCGTACACAGAAGTGATCCTGAAGTGATATTTTGCATAATTGGGTGTGGTTTCCTTCAAGTGTAGGAAAAGCCGTACGGGTCAAGCGACTACTTGGTTCGGTATAAGTAGCCAAAAATGCACAAACGGAGCACAACAGAGCGTGAACTTTCGGTGTCCGAAGTATTTTTGTCGTAGAAAGCTACTACTCATTGTGATTTTTAACAAAGAAGACGACACTGTAGCATTTGAAGGCCTTAATATCAGTGTTGCAAATAAGCAACAGCTCAATTCAAGAGTTTCCAATCCTAAGTGGAATGAACTTTGAGTATGGCCGGAACAAGCGCACTAAATAAGATGGTGAAGGTGATAAGGCTCCATATATAGTTCCTCGGCTTCCGAACTTTATTTTACCAAGCTATCTAAATCAATCCCTTCACAGATCCTAATGAATGTATTATCCAGGAATATCCACCCATAAGGCTTATTAACCGTTTACAGCCAGATACGGTCAGGTTTCACATAAAGAGCTATCATCATGAAAATGCATCTGCTACCTGAAAAAACCTCAGACTTATACTCATATAAATGTTTTTGGCATACTAGTGAACTATCTAGCTATGAATGTCAAATTATTCCCGCCCTACCATGCCAACGGCAAGAATCATGCTTTGGAATTTGCGCAAAGCCATCAATATGATCTCAAGTTCTGTGCAAAGCAAACTAATTTTAACCGCTCTCCCACAGAAACGACACCAGATGCACAAAAGTGCATCATAAATGTGAGACTTTAAACACGCTTGCAACCTTCTTACCATCAAAAACAGTGGGATGATAAATCCCCATGCAGTTACTGCAAAATCTTTGAAAGCTCACCACTAATTTTGTCCCTTTCCGAGTTCATCAGGTAGTCACATAATCTACATTTTCGTCAACCTTATGTTCTAATTGAACCTCAATTGTATGAAAGTTGACAAATATACACATTTGCACACAGATTTGGTTTTAATGACAGGTTTAGCTGAGTTCGGTTTAAATCTATCGTGTATGTTATTCTTCAAAAATTGTACTGCAATTTCTTGAATATCATGCCGACCAAAACAGGAGGGGGCCTTTGTGCAGCATTTTTTGTTGATAAATAATCCCAGTTTTTATTAATTTTGAGAAGTTCAAAGGGACAAAAATAAGAAAATAATAGCAGTCAAAACAGTAAATCAAAGCAACTTTGAAGGGAAAGATGCACAAAAGCCAAATGCTTAGCACTGGACAAGGAGCATGCCCTTATTCGGTGTGCTTAAGCATGGTGCACTAAATCAATTACGCAACGTCCATCACCACCCGACTACAGGTCGTCTGTGAACAGCTCCCGTAAGAAGGTCACCCTAACCCGGTATTGAATATTTTCAGTGATCAAGCTGGTTCCATCTCACACGTTTTATTCAGAAAACAGCCAATACAAAGGGCGCAAAGATAGCCAGGTTTTGTGATATCTGTTTGAATAATCCGCTGATTAAATGCATATTAGTTATAGACTCACACTACAAGGAGCAGACGTCATTCCGGAGGACAAAACTGGTAGAGCTAGGTGCCCGACTCAGTTGAACCATAATGAGATCACCACAGCACAGGGCAAAGAGCAAGGAGAGACAACACGAAATAGTTAAAGCGTAGTGAAAGTTACACCAAGACAGAAACTGAAAACAACAGATGTACAATTCTGATA